TCGTTTAGTGATTCGTTCGTTCATTCATTCATTTTCGCTTCGTCGTTCGTTCGTTCATCTATTAGTTAAGTTACGTTCGTTCATCCGTTAGTTAAAATCTGCGAAACTAGTGGCGTTAGGGATTAATAAGAGAATGGCTTTCATATAGGCATTTAGTTTCCTCCTGCTGTTATCCACCCTGTGTTCGCTGTTTCTATCATTACTTATCTTCTTTTTTGTTGCTGTTTGATTTTAGTTATTGTACAGCTATTTTGGGAAGTTATATTAAATAATAAATAAATAGTTATGCATGTCCACAACATACCTTGAGCTTTTCATCAAAATAGTGGGCAATTTTACGAGTGTACTGCTTCTTCTTGTCGTCATCTTTGAAATAACGCTCTTCTATAGCTTCTCCAAGCTCCTTAAAGGAAAAGCTACGAAATACGAGAATAGTTTGTGAATTAGTTCAGAAGAAAGTTACTTGAGCCTAAAGTTAAAAACTAATTTCCTTATGGTCAAGCAAGAATAGAACGGGGCCTTTGACTCTCGACAAATGGTACACGCGTCTACCAGAGGAACCAAAAATAGCGGGAAAAGTAAATTGATTTGATCAGAAGACCGAGGTTTACTGAACTTTCCGATCGGAATGACTACTTAAATAATTTGGTTTTCCTACCGGAATTACTGGTTTTTCTGGGTAAATGATTAGCGTTTCTAGTCTTTTATTGGATAATAATAAAGACATTCCTGGCAGTAATCACGTACCTGTAAAGGCCATCCCGATCAATCAAAAAGTCATCCATGGCAAAGAAAATGGACGACCACACTTGATTTGAGATACCAAGAATAGAACGAACTTCTTTTTCAGAGAGGCCATTCCTTGCCAAATGAATACAGCACGTGATCTGATAATAATATCATGCAGGATAAGCTTGGATCATTAAAAATGCAAGAATGTGTATTGTATTTGAATTTATTCATTCATCCATTCATCCTATTCATTCAACCTAAAGGTGCAGACACACGGTGCAACATTGCACGCAACATTGCAAGCAGCAAATTTGAATGGAGGAAGGGGGGGGGGGGGGAATTGTTGCAACAAAATCACGCAACATCGTTTGTGTCAGCCTACTATGTTAAAATATTTGGCCAGCAGTTATAAATTTGGTGCAAGCTAATTGGCTGGAAATTTCAAAATGTTGGAGGTAATGTTGCAGCCATGTTCACATGATGAAGTTTGTTGCGCGCAATGTTGCAAGAGTAGAGCGCGATTCAACTTCAGATTTGTTGCATGCAACTTTGCGTACAACAGGTTTGGGGTAGACACACGCTGCAACAGTCCTGTTGCACCGTGTGTCAGCACCTTAATAATCTTTTCTTAACATCCATGCATTCATCCCATCCATCCATATATACAACCGTCTGTATTTTTAAATCCCTTACCTCCTCTGCTAGGTTTCCATGGTAATCTTCTGGGTTGTAATCTTTCTCGAGTCGTTCAAGATACTTCAAAAACAAACCTTTTGTGCTGAAAAGAGCAACATTCATAAATATTCAAAGCTCCTTTTGGCTCAAGCAGATTTTATGTTGCTTGTAAAAAACATAAGATGTATACCGTTACGTTATCATGATACGTTTGAGCATTCTTGATATCATTAGATGAACACGCACCGACCTCGTACTCTGTGTTTGGCTAAAAAAATGTGTCGAAATCGCTACAGACGAGTTCCAACTTACCGCTGTGTTCCTTGATTACAGATTTATTTACTTGATGCTCGATGTATCATTTTAGCGTCAAAATATTCACAAATAAGAACAGCAAAGTAAAGCTAGAGTGCTTAACTTCAACATTACAAACACTTTATGAAATTACACTGGAACATATAAATATTGTACACGAAATATTACGGAGGCAAACACTGAACAACAGAAAATTCAAAACTGCATGGAGTATCATGTTTTTATGGTACAGAATCTGAAGTAATATATATATATATATATATGTCCTAATACAACACTCACTCGTTTGCCTGGATGAGACTATCAATGTAGGAATCCAACTGAAAGAATTCACCAAAACTAACAAGTTCCTGTTACAAATAACAACAAAAATAACATTTCATTATGAAAGCAGTATGTTAATGCTCAGTACAATTAAACAACCACTTTTTCGAACCCTGAAACAAACTCTGCAGGGTTGATCAAAGTAAAACCTCAGCAATCTCACAGAATGAAGTAGAATTTGGCGTATTGGGTTTTTCGAATTTAGGACATCTATTTAAGGTTTTGAAAAATTTTGAAGGCAAAGAAAAAAAAAAAGAAAAATAGAAAGATTTTTTGAATAAATCAATTATGCGCTTGTGCGCTTGTGCGCTTGTGCGCTTGTGCGCTTGGCGCTTGGTGCTTGTGCGCATGGCGCCTATGCGGCTTGACGAGCGTCGTTCTGCGCTTGGGTTGGCTAATGCACATGAAGTGATTTTAATGCCAAGACTTTTATATATTTTATAATCCTGGGAACTATGAGTTCAATTGTTTCTTATTTTACTTCTTTTTTTGCAGGGATACGTCCCTTTAATCAGTTACGATTTCAACTAATTTTGTCCCTGCAACCTGCAGCACGAGCTCAAACTAGTTAGGCTTCTTGCAACGTGTCAACGGGACAAAAATGGCAATTGAAGGGAATATTGTCTTTGCGTCCTGATATGTTACAACTTCTAGCCTATTATATTTATCACATACCATGAGAAGAATTTCCAGGTAGAGAGGATTTTCTGTTTGTTTTTGAGCGAAGACTCYTTGTTGCTGCTCCTTGGACAAAGTTTTCCCGCGCTTTTTTAAGGCAGTCTAAAAATATTCAATCAACATTTACAGTAAGGTGACAGCTACTTTTGCCACGCATTTTTTATCACGCTTTGACCATTCTGTCACACAAGATATTTTATAGACATCTCACACATGGCACTCAACTCTCCTGGAACAACTGGTGTCACAAAACCGTTCCGCAAAGAATTTTCTAATTTCAGATCACGTGTCATTCTCTTGAAAATAAGATTTTTTGGGTAGAACTGTATACATATTCATGTGTCTTCTCATGCACGTACTGAATACTCTAGGGAATGACACGTGCTCTAAAAGAGTTAAACCTATTGCAGGATCGAACGTTTGCAAACTACCCTAATGCTTCGCAAATTTTTTTAAAAGAAAGTGTGCAAGGGATTCTGGTAGTAGAGGTCAGTGACGCCACTATGCAAACGTCCTATTGGACGCAACTTCTATGAAATTACCCAAAACTATTACTATTAAAAAAGATAAAAAATACACAGAGTTACTAACTAGCGCCATTTGTTCTCGTTCATTCAAATCGAGTGGCCTTGTGTAGATTTTATGATACGACCTCTCTCTAAGCTCGTTGATGTTGGCTGAATCAGATGTTAGGGTAGAAACTATCAGATAGACACAAGGTGGAATATCTTTAGGAAGCCAGTAAAGAGCCTGAAAAATTAAATTTATGTGGTTCATTATCATAAACTACTAAACTATTATATTGTCACACCTGACAGACCCTACATAAGAGACGAGGTCAAAACAATGGTCCTAAATAGGGACCCGATTTTATGAATTAAGGGAGTGGGTACCGGTACATACCCCCTCCCCCCTCAGAGACCTCTTCAAATGCCCGGTATGTAGTGGCAATTTCTATACATAAATATGTTTCTTAGCAAACATGCAGACAGACAGTCCATTCAATTCTGTGATTTGGCTTTTAGTTTTGGAGATATTTGGGGGCAAAATCTAAGATTTCCCTTCCAGAGGTGGTAGGTACCGGGTAACACCACCCCTCCCCCCTAAATAGGGTCCCGTGAGATGACAATTGTTTTGCCCTCATCCCTAATATATATTAGTCAAATCCAACGAGTGGTCTTGCTTTGAAAGTGTTTTTCGATAAGAATTCATAAAATCGATTATTTTCCTCAATTTTACTGAATTTGCTTTTTTCAGTTTTGTGGCCCGTCAAATTGGATGCGCACGCAACCTTGAGAAAACGGTCTATTGGTCAATCTCGTACCCAGAGCCTGCGTTTCTTCTGGCCTGCGGCGAAGAAAGAGGGCTCTGGCATAATCCATATTTTGGCGCATGCGCAATTTTCGGAAAGTGAGATATAAACGGTCAAAATAAGCAAAGTAAAAATTAAATCGAACTCAAAATCAAAGTAAAAATCATAATACGAATTAAAAATCGGGAAACAAAATATTTTTTATTTTTGGCAAGTCTTTGAGCGTGTGCGCTGTTATACCGGAAGTCCAAGGAATCCTGCTCTCAGAGCCAGAGCCCTCGTTCTTCAACGCAGGCCAGAAGAAACGCAGGCTCTGGGTACGAGATTGTCTATTGGTGAGAGGCGGCGCATTACAGCAGCGCAAACCAACCATCAATGAATCTTACTCACTTTCATGGTCTGTCCCAACTTGTCGACATTATTCAGTGCATCTATTATGATGAATGCTTTGGAACCGGTCTCTTTGACTCGACGCATCAAACCAGTTAGTTTACGGAAAAGCTCGCGCATGTCGTCATTAGGATCGGAAGCAAAGCTGTTGTCGTGTACAACTCGATCTTGAAGCTCGTCATTTAGCTCGTCTACTATACGTGACATGATGAACTCAGGGGCTATAGAATTAAACAAAAATCAATGTTATAGTCAATCCCTGAAACAACGTCTGGGCTGATCTAAGTCAGGGCATGAATGACACACAGATATTTGAACCCAGAAAAAAAATTCTGGGCTGTTCTAAGTCAGGGCATGGCTAACTCACAGATCGAACCCTGAAAAAATCTCTGGGCTGATTTAAGTCAGGGCACGGCTAACTCACAGATCCAACCCTGAAACAACCTCTGGGCTGATCTAAGTCAGGGCATGGCTAACTCACAGATCAAACGCTGAAACAACCTCTGGGCTGATCTAAGTCAGGGCATGGCTAACTCACAGATAGAACCCTGAAACAATCTCTTGGCTGATCTAAGTCAGGGCATGGCTAACTCACAGATCAAACCCTGAAACAATCTCTTGGCTGATCTAAGTCAGAACACGGCTAACACACAGATCGATACCCTGAAACACACTCTGGGCTNTAACTCACAGATCAAACCCTGAAACAATCTCTTGGCTGATCTAAGTCAGAACACGGCTAACACACAGATCGATACCCTGAAACACACTCTGGGCTGATCTAAGTCAGGACACAGCTAATTCACAGATAAAACCCTTAAACAACCTCTGGGCTGATCTAAGTCAGGGCATGGCTAACTCACAGATCAAACCCTTAAACAACCTCTGGGCTGATCTAAGTCAGGGCATGGCTAACTCACAGATCATCAAACCCTGAAACAACCTCTGGGCTGATCTAAGTCAGGGCATGGCTAACTCACAGATAAAACCCTGAAACAACCTCTCAACTATATTTCCTGTCAAACCTGTTCCTCTGCTTGTTGAGCCAACGAAGTGGTAAATGACGATATCTTGAGGGCTTCTCATCTGATGTAAGGTCACCCAGTTGCTCAGCATACAAGACGTTCCGCTTCCTGTAACAAAAAAAGCTCACAGGATATAGAGGCTATCACAGGATATATTGGAGCATTTCCGTGAGACCGTACTCTACAGCTCACTACACTCAAAATATGTTCCTAATTCTTTCCTTCCTTAATCTTTCTTTTTCTTTTTTTTTTTTTTTTTTTTTTTTTTTTTTTTTTTTTNTTTTTTTTTTTTTTTTTTTTTTTTTTTTTCTCATTCCATTCTAAACTTTCGTGTTCTCTTGCCAGAGCTTAACAAGTGTTTTTAATCAAGTTCATGAAAGCTAGTTCTCTCAACATCATACCTCCGGGTCCAAGTACCAGAACACGGTTAGCCTCTTCGTTTTCCTGATGCAAGAAGTATTTATCAATCTCATCGAGGTATTTCTGGCCACCCACGTAGTTACCACCCATACCCAGTCTACTGGCCAGGAATATATCATGTTGTAGGTTTTCTTCTTCTCTTTCTGTGAGCTTGACAGCAGGGCGAGACAATAGCACCTCCTTGAAGTATTTTTCAATCGTTTCAAACATTAAGCGTGCTCCTTCTTTGGGTGTTGGGTAGCTCATGTAGACTGCAAGACACTGGAGGTTTATATATCAAACGACGTTAGTTGAAGGATACTGCTGGTCTATCGTTGTTTCAACCATGCATACTTTCTATCCAATGCATTTACACATTCACATATTCACCCATGCAATCATCCGTCCAGTTATCCATCCATAATCTATTTACCCGTCCATTCATTCATTCATTTATTCCATCCATCCGTCCGTCCGTCCAACTTTTCATTGATTATTATTCCTTCCTTCCTTCCTTCCTTCCCATATTTTCATTCTCACCTTGTCTCTTGTTTGTTCTATTCTCTGTTTTAGATCAAGAAGTCGTTCAGCAGCATGTGGACCGTCAGTTGATGCAACAAACTTCCTGATTTCTCTTTCATTACCAGTCTTTTTTGCTTCCTCTAACTTCATGTCATCGTAAGCCTAAAGAAAAACAAAAAAAATGTTTAGCAACTTCGAGAATCGTTGGTTTAGTCTCTCCTCTTTAATCCTCGTTTCAGAAGTAAATTGCTTTGGTACTACAAATCTCGTACAGTCTTGCGCCTCTTGCAAGCAAACTACTCCCGTCCCCCCTCACCCACCTATCAAAATAAAGAACGGTTATTGCTTTTCTTAAAAGAGCACGTGACACACTACCAGCCACAGAATTTATCAAGACAATCGCGATTGAAAAACTGTGCGTGCGCGTTCTAAATGCTGGATGGAAAAGTGTTAGAGTGACGACTTGGGATGGGAGAACCTACATAGCACTCAGTTGATGTAATGTATTCAGAAAATCTATTGTATTCTATTGTCGTTCTATCTATTGTATTAGGTGTGATTCATTGCATTTTTATGAATACAGTACATCAACTGCTTGCTACGTAGGCTCTTCCGTTTTGGGATTCCTTTGGACGCGCGCGGAGATTGGCGAGCTCTAATCTCCGCGCGCGTCCAAAGGAATCCCAAAACATTCGTCTTTACTGAGTCTGGAGGGAAAACTGGGACCGCGCGCAGTCTAATTTCCATATACTATGAAAGTGTCCAAAATGTTGGAGAACGGACTTTTGACATATTTTCATGATACTTCAAATGGATACTAGGGTACGTGACTTTGATTAGTCTAAAAGCTATTTCAGGTATCCTAACACTTAATTTCTATTGATGTTTGTTTTCTTCATCTTTTGATTTACAGTATTTATGTGAATAATTGGTGTAAATAGATAAAAATTCTGATCTGAATATCCATTTTTTTTAGGTTTAACGCTCTCCCTCCCTCCCTCCTTACCAAAAAATAACCAATTCCCTTTTCACTTACTTTATCTCTAAAAAAGAAACAAGCAGCTCTGGCACCAGGGTTTCTAAGGTGGCCGTGTAGATACTCTAGTTCCGTCACGCTCTTGTCACGGTAGTCGTTCAGCCATGGATAGAACTCTGCCGCAACGTCGAAACTTTTCTGAAGCAGTTTGTCTTCACCATGCCAACCATACCGCTGAAAATGAAAACATGTCATGCTCAAACTACATAAATACATTTGCTCAAACTACCAACATTTGCTTTATACCCCTTTATTTTACCGCGCGCAAACTGAATAAACCATCTTACATAACGTTTTCCCATTTCAAATCACGTGTCATTTCTCTTGAAAATTCTTTGTTTGTCGTATCCATATTCATGTGTCTTCTCATGCGCAACCATTAAATAAAGAAATAATACTCTACGGAATGACACGTGGAATGAAATGGTAAAACATTAGACTCTAGACGAAGAGATCTATAGACTTAATCGACAATCGACGGGAGAAAAGTTTTTCCATTTCAGACCACGTGTCATTCTCTTGAGAAAAAGATTCGATTGGTATCCATATTCATGTGTCTTCTCATGATACTCTAGAGAATGACACGTGATCTGTGCGCATGAAATGGGAAAACATTTTGCTAAAAGTGAAAAGGATCCTTGGAAATAATATTGTGGTGTAGTCGTTTTTATTTTTTGTGTGACGTGATATTGCAATGTGGTTTAATTTTATTCCATCGACTTCCTCTACTTTCTACTCTTCCTTTTCCTTCTCACATTCTTCTTTTCTTCCTTCCTTTCCTTCGCTTGGTCAGTGTTTTGTTCTTGTTTCTTTTATAGTTTTTGGGGTTTCTTCTAGATTTTTATTTTTATTTTTCTTCCTCCCTTCCTTATTCCTTCCTTTTTTCTAAGAAAAAAACTTGGTAAAGCGGATTAAAATTTGCCCATCCAAGGTTGCGCGAAAAATTGATAACGAGTATGCCGCGCGCCGAAATATGGGGACGCCATTTTTTTTCCAAATGACGAACTCTCTTTAAAAAAAACACACCGAAAAAAAAGTATAAATGTGACTCGACTCAAAACCTTAAACCTGTAAAACCGCAAGACATATTGCGTTTCCTTAAACAGCCCCAACATTCAGCGCGCGTCCTACTCGTTACCAGTTTTCCGCGGTCATTTACCTGTCCAAAAAAACCGACGATCATATCAGACCTGTCCATTTCATTGAGGCAAATCTTGATAGTGACAGCACTGGACGACATCTCAGACGTAATGCCCCATCTCAAATCGACAGGGATAAAATCATAGCCAGCCTTGTTGCATATACTCTCGAGTCGTGGCCAGTATTTCTTGGTTAACTCCTCTCGTTCCTCTTCGAGACCTCCAAATGGAGAACTGAAGAACACTCTGGCAGTTTTGCGCTCCAATCGCTGACGGCGTTCCTGTTATTGGATCATTATTAATTATGATAAATAGCGACTGGTCATAAAGGAAAGGGGGTGGATGGATGGGAGGGTGGGTGGGGGTAAAAACAGGGATGACGTGGGTCAGACAATTTTGTATTTCTTAAAAGGGGTGGGGTTTTTATAATAAAACTGTACCTGACTGTAATCTGTATATCACTTGCATTTGCTGCATGGAAACTTGGGGGAGGGGGATCATTATTTAATAGTATTAACTTATTATTCTTACTTATTAATATTTAACAATTATTCGCCGAAGGCGAAGTGAATATCGGGAAATATTTACCGAGACGCGAGTCTTCGAGCAGCGAGGTAAATATTCTCCATATTCACTGAGGCTGAGGCAAATAATTGTTTTAGTATAAATACACAAGGTGATTCTTTCAAAAAAAGAAGATAAAACACACATTTAAAATTAGGGAAATTTTTAATTGAAGTGACAAACGCGGCCATGTTTCAATTACAACACAGGCGAACTCCGACTTTGCGAATCAAAACAGTTTGTTTGAGCTTATTTGATTGTTTTAAGTCCTTTTTGTAAATTTGTTAGCCTTTTTAGTGCTTTTGGGGACAGCATTTTATTTTTAATTCCTCTCCCGGTAACAGCAACAAAGCGGCTGGCCGCCATTTTGGATTATCGCTGGCGGTGATTATCGTGCGATAGAATGAGTTTCTCGACCAATCAGCGCGCGAGATTTTCAATAATCACCTGTGTATTTTTACTAATACTTATTCATATTACTCGTGGGGGGGGGG